TAATTTATTAGCAAGTCGGATTAAGGGTTCATTTTAAAGATTTAGTGTTAGGGTTCAGGGCAGGGTAACATTAACTGTAAAGTTTAGTTAAAAGAATAAGGAAAGGTATGAGGGCATGCTGTATCCATTTTTATGTAGATTTGTTTTTGGCATTGAAATCCTGCTCCCAGACTGCAGATGAAAGGTGCTTTAAGGGTATCAAAAAGCGTTTCAGAGCCTGTAAAATACTTTTTGAATTTGATGATCTTCAGGATTACCAGTTGATGCCTGTGCGAAGCCTGAAGCAGGATTTGTCAACTGTGCTGTCCTACATCTACTGTACAGCAAACCAATACAGTGCAGGTGAAACCTTGCGAACAAGTCTACGAGCTATAAGTTTTTCAGAACTATGGTTATGCAAAATGCTGTTAAAAGAAACAGACTTCATAAGTTAATTTTCTCTATTTCTAATAACCTACCCAGGTATGAACATTCTAAACAAGTCTTAATGAAGATAATTTCTTATATCAATTTGGGCATAGGCAATATATCAGTGGCCTAAGAAAAAAAAAAAAAAAAAAAAAAGTAAGATTCCAAGGTAAAAAAAAGCAGCAGAAGATGGCATATTATGGTAAATGCTGCCAAAGCCGTGCTCCTTGAAGTTGCACTGTAAGTTCATTGATAAAGAGGACCTTGCACTTAAAACTAACTCAAACCCCCATGCAAAAATCTCTACATGTAGACCACAAAACATGAAATCCTGCATTTTCATGAGATCTGGGATCTTCACCTTTCCCACATAAGGTGAAGATCAAGGTGTTTTAGACCATAGTGATGAAAAAGAAAAAAAAAGAAAAAGGAAAATGAAGGATGGAAACTTTTCTTGAGTGAATGAAATTCCAACGATGAATGTAGTTTTGTTCAAGTAACTCCATTCATTCCAAAATCAAATGTTAAAATAAAAATAAATTTCAAACATTGTGCAAGTACTGCTGCTATCAGCAAAGGAGGATCTGAAGGAGAACAACTCTGCTGATTGACAGCAGCAGTGTGCGGGTGCAATAGCCAGCCTGCTATTGACTATTGCAAATTGAAATAGCCAATAGCAGCCTAGCTTTTCATTCTCCTGCTGTTTTTTTTTTCCTTTTCTTTGATAGATCTTAATAAAAAAAAAAAAACAACTGACATGAGGTTGGTTGGAGGGGGGTTTAAGGAGAATAATCCAGCACTGGTGGCCCCTGGTTCAAATCCCAGTCAGGGACACTATCTGCAAGGGATCTGCATGTTCTCCGTGTGCTTGGGCGTGGGATTCCTCCGGGTAGTCCCGTTTCCAACTACACTTCCAAAGACATGCTGGTAGGTTGATTGGCTCGTGTCTAAATTAGCCCTTGTATGTATGCATGTGAGATAGGGACCATAGATTGTAAGCTCCTTGAGGGCAGGGACTGATGGGAATGTGCAACTATCTAAAGCATTGCATAAATAAACATCACTATAAAAAATATGAATGTTGGAAATAATTATGTCACGCATCACCATACATTGAAGTTACTGGTCACTCAAGCCACTATCGTGTTGTAAATATTTTATGTCTGACAAAATCAATGCGTCATGCTTTTTACCTCAAGGGATTCCATCATGTAGGATACAAGTGTTAATATTCTGCCTGTCTTAAACCACTCCAAAGTACAGATGATGCTGAATGAAGTTAACATTCTCCTAAAATCTAGGAACTAGAACACTTAACATATAAATGGACAGTGACTTCGATGACTAATCTACTGAATATGTCCTATACACCAAGGGGCATATTTATAAAGCAGTTTGACATTCACTGCTTGTGAATCTTCCAGGTACATATGCGTTAAATGACAGTGATTTGCTCACCACCAGTGAATGGTTTGTTAATAGGAGAACTATGAGGTGAGTGCTTTTCACTCACCTCATAGTTCTAGCCGACCTGTGACAATGAGACTGTCACAGGTCGGCTCAGTAGATCGGGAAGTGAGAGAACACATACCGGCGTTCGCTCACTTCTCGATCCTGTCACAGCTCTCTGCCGTGACAGGGGAGGGACTGGATTCCCCCCTCCGATCCTCCAGCACTAGCTGGCGGAACGGATGGGGGAGGGGGCGCGTACAGCTGGCTCTCCCTCTAGATAGGCAGAGTCATCTGTCACTCATGCAGCTGGGCGGATCCAGACATAATTGTCGGGATCCGCTTCAGCGTCTCAGTATACTGAGCTTAGGGTGACGGGAGGACGCTAGTTTGTGTCCTCCCGTTACCCTGAGAACTATTGGGAAAAAGCCCTAAGCCCATAGTTATCCTTTAAGTCACATTTACTCCTTTATAAATATGCCCCAAAGTGTGCAAAGTGTCAAATGAAACAACCGTATACATTATATGCAGACAGACCTGGTTCCATCTTTCATGTAGCAAATTATGTAGATGGCTTATGTGTTGCTACAGAAATGGCACATAAAACACTATGGCTTAAAGCCAAGTCCACATTTGACCAAGTTTCGTGCTACACCCATATTCAGGGTGAAACATGACACATGGTAAGTCTGGAAACCCCCCATCCACTTACCACCATCGTGGGGTTCTTCTACCCACAGGCTGTTGAGTATTTTTGAATTTGATGCACACAGCTGAACCATCCATCCACAGATCCTTTGAGAGGATCTATGAGTAAAGAAACCACAAGCACCATCAGCCACCATGGCAGAGGGACTGGTTGTTCTCAATAGCATACAAGTGCCATGACATCACTGCACATGTAGTCCATTCATTCTCCCATCCATGTTATTAAAGTCTGTACTGAGGTACAGACATGGATGGAGGAAAAGCCTGCAGGAGCCAGAGCATTGCAGCCATGATCCACTGATCGCAGTTGCAAAGCTTTACTGGCTCCAATTAAAAAAAATAAATGCACATTTTTATTTTATGAAGACTTGTGCATTCATAATTTATTTTCAAAAATGTGGAATTTGCCTTTAAAATTATAATCATATACGACTCCTGGTTAGATAAATATCGACTTGTACACATATTCTAGCACACACATAGGTCCATGTCACACCAGTCAACAAGTCACTTACAACCATTTATCCGCAAGAGCATTACTAACAAACCGCTTACGTTTTTATTTATTCAGTCGGTCCTTCACTAGCTGGACTAGAGAGATATGTTACTCGCTCACTACTCCTTCAAGTGAGATTCCAGCAGGCCAATAAGGACAACATTTTGTTAAGATAAGAGGACCTGATAAAAGTGCCATTATGTGTGGAATCCAACAATCTCAACCTCTGTGCTAACTTACATAATACCAGACATCGCAACCTTAAAAAAAAAAAAAAGCCCACACATTTCGGGGAGGTGCCCTTCCACAGAGGGGAGGCGGGGGAGAGGGCACCTCCCTGAAATGATGGCAGACAGCAAAGAGCTAATGCTATTCCCCTGCCATCTGCGGTTTCCGCCGTCCGAATAAAATTAGACAAAAAATTGTATGTAAAAAAACAACAACAGATAGCAGGGGAATGAATAGCTAGGCTGCTATTGGCCATTTCAAATTGCAATAGCCAAAAGCAGGCTGGCTATTGCACCCGCTCACTGCTGCCAATCAGCAAAGCAGGATCTGAAGGAGAACATCAGGTACACCTCTGCAGTGGGTGCAATAGCCAGCCTGCTATTGGCTATTGCAATTTGAAATAGCCAATAGCAGCCTAGCTATTCATTCTCCTGCTCCCTTATTTTTTTTAACTCTGACGGTGGACGGCGGCACCGCTATAAAAAA